TACGCTGGGCGTACCCAACCTCGGACGCGGGGCGTAGAGCGAAGGCGACGTGTCTTCATCTGGTGCGAGGTCGTGGGGAGAAAGGGAAGGCTAGGATCGTGCCACGTCATCACATTTTCGCAAATTGCACACTTAACTTCTAAAAATCATAACTTTCGCATACGAGCTCCGTTTTCGACGTTCTTTATATCCACGCGTAGGTGAGAACGTACTCTACAACTTTTGTTTAGACTCCATTGGCTAATTTTGACTTTATTTTAAAAGTTATATTTTTAACAGGCTGGGACATGATTGGTCCGTTAAAAATTCATAACTTCTTCATCCGACGTGCGTTTTCGTCTGTCTTTTTATCGATGCGCTACTATTAACGAGATCTTCGATTCTCGTTTAGGTTATGTCGGCTAAAAACCGCTCGTTCTAATATTCGAACTTCGGGCTGTACACTGCTAAGCCTAAACTTCGAAAAATCATAACTTCCTCATACGAAGTCAGATTTGGGCGTTCTTTTTTATGGATGTTCTCGGTCTAATGTATTCTACGACTTTCGTTTAGGTCGCTAAGGCTAAAAGTCGCTCTATCATAAATTCACTATTTACGCCTCCCGGTGCCATGTCGGTTCTTGTCGCGAAACTTCGACGGGTCATAACTTCTTCGTTATAACTCGGATTTCGGCGTTTTTTATATGTACGGAACCCTTGAGACATATTCTACAACTTGGTTAAGATTATTTATTCTAAATAATATTTTGTCGAAAAGTCGTTTTCGACCCCTATTATCTCTAGATAGACTAGCCCGGATCTACGGGCGTTACATTTACATTGTGTAAAACCAACTCCATCCCAGTCTCAAACTTCAAACAAATATCTCCGACACCAACAATTTTTTATAACCCATTATTACCCATCTTAACATTCCCAAAATCACTAGGAGTGTAAGATGTGTAAAAATCCCTTTATGATGTCACATGACAAGTAGCACCACTGTCAACAACCCAACTTGAATCATCATGTGCAAGATTGACCATATTATAATAACAACAAATAAAGAACTCTTCAGTAGCAGTGTTAACTTCAACAGTATCATTACCACCATCATCTTTCTTGTGGTTGTTCTTTTGATTGTTGTAATTTTCCTTCTTGTTCTCCCTTTTCAACTGTCTACAGAATCGTATTGTGTGCCCTTTTCTACCACAATGATTGCACTCATAGTCAACAAACTTTCCTTTAGATTTACTGCGATGCTTCCCTTTGTTATTTGGACCTCTACTTTGACTTCTCCCCTACTTTCTGTGACCAAGACATCTGAATGTGAAGAGGAACCTTGTGACTTTCTTCTCATCTCTTCATTTAAAACACCTCCTTTAGCAAATTCCATGGTGATAATACCATCTGGTGCAGAGTTGGACAAGGATGTCCTAAAAATTTCCCAAGAATCCGATAAAGTGCCAAGGAGCCATAAACCTTGTAACTCATCTTCAAACTTGATACCCATTCCTGCAACTTGATTAATAATTCCTTGAAAAGAATTCAAATGATCACTAATAGGATTTCCATCATGGTACTTCAAGCCAATCAACTGTTTATTCAGGAACAATTTATTGTTCCTGGTCTTCCGAGCATACAACTGCTCAAGCTTGTTCAACAAAGTACGAGCATGAGTCTCCGCGCTAATATGGTTCAAAACATCATCATCAACCCATTTTCGAATATACCCACAAACTTTTCTATGCAAAATATTCCACTCTGCATCTGTTTTATCTTCAGGTTTTTCAGTATTAAACACAGGCATATAATAATCATTTACATAAAGAAGGTCTTCCATCTTGCCTCTCCAAACTTGATAATTAGAACCATTCAAATTGACAATCCTATTTGTATTAGCTTCCATTGTTAAAACAAGTAACCTAATAACAAGAACCAGGCTCTGATACCAATCTGATGGGAAAACCGCAACCACAACGGTCAATAACAATACGAAATAATACTTCGTTTGACTAAACTATTCCCGTCTTGAATGAACCTTTTAGGATCCAAAAAAATAGGATATTTTCACTTGCAACAAATCAGCCCCAATACAAGTTATATGATCAATATAATCAACCTAAAACAATAAGTAATCAACCAATAAAGACACCAGAATTTTAGCGTGGAAACCTCTCGAGAAAGGAGAGTAAAACCACGGGACTACTAGAGCCGCTTCAAATCCACTATCACCAATATTATAGCAATACAAAATCTTCTCCAGATGTACTAGAGGCATACAATAATCATCATATACTTGGAACTAAATCACATCAAGCATATGGAATCAAATAAGCAAAGATAAAGAAGAATATCACCAAAGACTTTCATGATTTCCAGCAGCAAACAGAAGCGACGATTCCCGAGTCTCTGGAGCTGATCTCGACAATTCAACTGTTGGATCTGAAGGCCTCGATGTGAGGAAGCTTCTATCAAAATATCAACGAAAACGGACCGTTGGATCTCCGGAAAACTACCAAAAACCGCAGGTGTATCTTCAAAAACGAGAATTGAGAAAAAAAACCCTCTTTTGCTTCTTACTCTCTCTAAGTCTCTTGGTGGCTGAAAAATTTTGTGTGTTCATGAAATTAGGGTATGTAACACACACACAC